GTTTACGATCGCAGCAGCATTAAGTTTCACTACGGAACGTTGCAACTTACAAGTTGTTATTGTTGTCAATTAACCAAGAATCTCCATTACATATTTGCCACTATTTTTTGCACAACAAATAGCGAATGACTACTTTATAATAATATACTGATTTTCTTGTTTACTGTTTTAAGGCATGTCTTGTGTTTTCCTTCTAAATTATTAATGTAATAAAGTGTATAAGCAGTTTACGAAAAATGAAAAAATTAAACATTATTAATAAAGTATTTAAATTATATGCTAATTATTATGCAAATTAGCAACCAAGGTTGACGAAAATACTGGGGAGAAAACCGACTACACTGCAAATATTTTACATATCATATTCATGGATCGTAAAATGTAATTAGAAAATTAAAAAATATATGTCAAACAGAAATTTGACTTACCCATATGGATTATTAAATGCAATAGCATATACAACATTTCTATGCCCTTCTAATGTATGTAGTTCTTCTCCTGATGCAGTTTCCCACACTTTACATGTTCTATCATAACTGCCCGTTATAAACATAGAACCAGATTTATTGAAAGCTACATTGGTTAATGGCAATATGTGAGCACGTAGCACCTGAAAAATACAACAAAAAACTTAATGCTAAATTATCTATCCCTAGTCTACCCAGTACTGAATCAGTCTACTCAATACATGCGGTCCACCCAATACATGTGGTCTATCCAATACATGTCCTCCATAAACATTGTTAAGTAAAACACATATTTTCATAACATAACATCCTACTATATTTGATAGGGATGTTTAAATTCAAAATAAAATTTTTTGCTTGTAATCAAATAATAATACAATGTGTTCAAGTGCAGAAGTCACAGGATTTAAAAAATGACTATATTTATATTTCACACAATTTCTTTACCCACTGCTTGAATGTGAGCACGATTTTCACTGCACTCCAGTTACACATTTTCTGCAGCATATCAACACTATATAATATATAGATAGAAAGAGTGCCCATGAAATCAACCATCTACAGAGCACTATGTTCAACTTAATATATAGATAGAAACAGTGCCCATGAAATCAACCATCTACAGAGCACTATGTGCAACTTAATATATAGATAGAAAGAGTGCCCATGAAATCAACCATCTACAGAGCACTATGTGCAACTTAATATATAGATAGAAACAGTGCCCATGAAATCAACCATCTACAGAGCACTATGTGCAACTTAATATATAGATAGAAACAGTGCCCATGAAATCAACCATCTACAGAGCACTATGTGCAACTTAATATATAGATAGAAACAGTGCCCATGAAATCAACCATCTACAGAGCACTATGTGCAACTTAATATATAGATAGAAACAGTGCCCATGAAATCAACCATCTACAGAGCACTATGTGCAACTTAATATATAGATAGAAAGAGTGCCCATGAAATCAACCATCTACAGAGCACTATGTGCAACTTAATATATAGATAGAAAGAGTGCCCATGAAATCAACCATCTACAGAGCACTATGTGCAACTTAATATATAGATAGAAACAGTGCCCATGAAATCAACCATCTACAGAGCACTATGTGCAACTTAATATATAGATAGAAACAGTGCCCATGAAAT